ATCTGAGTTTTCCGCCATTTTTGTTCTGGATGCAGAGCTTGATTCCCTGCGCGAGTGTGGCGGAGAGAAATCTGTTGGCTGACACTTCGAAAATCGTCGAGAAGCACAACAAAACGTGTAAACGAAAAGACGATCTGAGAAAAATCGTCACCGATAATCTCATAGCTCTTGATTACAACGCCTCCGTCTGTAAATCCAAATGGGAAAAATCTCCATCAATTCCAGCTGGTAATTCTCAACTCTAATTTATATTTATTTATTTATTGGAGCCGTACAAATTGGTCTGGGTAAATTCATCATCGGAAAATTAAAAATTAAAAAAATAATTGTTGGTTTGAATGATGCGTGTAGGCGAGTACGAATACATTGATGTGATAATCGAAGGCGAGAGGGTGTTGATCGACGTGGATTTCCGATCGGAGTTCGAAATCGCCCGATCGACGAGCAGTTACAAGGCGACTCTCCAGTGTCTGCCATACATCTTCGTCGGAAAATCCGACCGCCTACTCCAGATCGTCTCCGTCGCGTCGGAGGCCGCCCGCCTGAGCCTGAAGAAGAAAGGCATGCACATCGCGCCGTGGCGCAAGTCGGAGTACATGAAGTCCAAGTGGCTCAGCCCCCACACGCGCCTCACGCAGCCGAAATTGAGCGGCGCCGCCGCCGCCGACGACGATCAAGAGGTTTTGGAGTGCGAGGTCGGAGAGCTGGACTTGATCTTCGGTGAGAGCATGGCTTTTTCGGAGGAGTCTGTTAGCTCGGTAAAACCTATATCTTCGCCGGCGAAGGTAATTCCTCCGGCGATGACGTGGCAGCTGCCGGCCGTGAGGCCGAGGAGTTTAGAGAGGGGGAATAAAGTGGTGGTCACCGGCTTAGCTTCTCTCCTCAAAGAAAAACTCTGAAGAAATTAATTAAAATAAATAAAAAGAAAAATTTTGATCCTCCTTTTTTTTAATTATAATTAATTTCTTTTTAGTATTTCCTAATTACGAAAACAAATATATAGTCTTCCCTTCCCCTTCTTTTTTATGCAGAAGGACACCATGTAAAAAAAAAACCAAAAAAATCTAGACCAATCATCATTTTGTCAATAATCAAAAATTAATATTTACATTGTCTATATATACATATATATATATATATATATAGATATAGATATTAAACTATTGAATTTGGATGTAGGAGATAATATCCAAATGTTTCCCATTGAGGAAACAGAGGGTATATTTTTTTTTAATTAAAAATGATGGTTTATTGGTATGAAGCAAATCA